AGTGGACTTCTGTGGTATAATTGTTCTCCAGTTTGTGAGTCACCCACCCAGCTGTTATGGGATTCGATTTTATTGTGATTGCGCCCCTCCTACTGTCTCATTGCAGCTTCTCCTTTGTCTTTGGATGTGGGGTATCTTATTTGGTGAGTTCCAGTGTCTTTCTGTCGATCATTGTTTAGGAGTTAGTTGTGATTTCGTTGCTCTCACAAGAGGGAATGAGCGCACATCCTTCTACTTTGCCATCTTGAACCAGTCTTTCCAAAAATAAAATAATGATTTTAGAAATGAAGACTCAGTAGAAGTGACAAAAACTACATCAAATAAAGGAGAAAAATGGAATTTTTAAAAATTTTGATAGCAAAATATTAAAAGGCTCACTTAGCAAAGAACTGGCATAATGACATATTATTAGGTCATGAGTACTCTTTGGTCCAGGAATTTATGTATAAAAATATATTTTAGGGGCTTCCCTGGTGGCGCAGTGGTTGAGAGTCCACCTGCCGATGCAGGGGACACGGGTTCGTGCCCCGGTTCGGGAAGATCCCACATGCCGTGGAGCGGCTGGGCCCGTGGGCCATGGCCGCTGAGCCTGCGCGTCCGGAGCCTGTGTTCCGCAACGGGAGAGGCCACAACAGTGAGAGGCCTGCATACCACACACACATACACACACACACAAAATATATATATATATTTTAGAATATCTGTTCTAGACCATGCCTGATATCTAATATTCTTAATCTGCTAGTGTTGTAGCTTTCCTGTGGAGATTGGATTTTGCATTTGCATAGGCTGAAAGGAGAGGGAGGTATATATGTGGAAAAGTAGAGCAATACTGTTTGAGACAAGGACAATTCTCTTGACTTTACCTGGTGCCACGTTCCATGTTTACTTGTATGCACTTTCCATGTTTACTTGTATGCACTCGTAAAATGGTTGGATCCTGGATTTCTTTGTGTGCCTTTGGAAGTTTTGTCAGATAGGCTGAGGTGGAGGATGGAGTAAGGCGTCTGGATTCACTGTCATGGATTTTCTTGGAGTGTCCTCTGGTAGAACAAGTGGCTTTTCCTCAAGTAGGACACAACAAGGCTCTGGGCTTTTCTAAAGTTCGATAAATTTTGTGCACATGAACTTACGCTGCTTGTTACTCTGCTGCTACCAAGAGATCAGGCCTTGCCCTTCGAAAAAGTAGCAAAGAGGGTCGTCAATGAAAGCAAGGTTCAAAAGCAGAATGATAGTGAATACACAGAAGAGCCAGACTTCCGTATCACTGAAAAGATGAAATGAGATGTTTGTAAAGGGCGTCAGAGTACTCTGCAAATGTTGTTATTATTACAAGTAATAACAACTTGATAGAAAGATAGATGCCTTGTACCTTACTTAAGTGTACAGTGGAAATGATCTCCACACCATCCTTACTTTTCACCAGTGTAATGGTATCTCCTGGTCTTGGATTTACATGTATTCCTCAAACAATTTTTTATCGTATGTCTTCAATTTTCTAATATAAATTCTCTAAAAAGACACAATTCTCAGTTAATACACTCTCCCCTAGAATAGCTGCAATTTAATCTTGATCATATTAGTCGACAGAAATAATTTAGAATGTTTGTTTTCTGTACTAACATGGTAAAAGGACAAGAAAGGAAATCAACACAAGAAGATATAGGATTAGCAAATAAAAAACATGATAAAACATTCATTTCCATGCATGATTTTTAAAAATTTTTTTACTTTTAATTTTTATTTATTTTGGGGTTGGGTCTTTGTTGCTGCGTACGGGCTTTCTCTAGTTTCAGTGAGCAGGGGCCACTTTTCGTTGTGGTGCGTGGGCTTCTCATTGTGGTGGCTTCTCTTGTTGAGGAGCATGGACTCTACGTGCGTGGCTTCAGTAGTTGCGGTACGTGGGCTCAGTAGTTGTGGCTTGCGGGCTCTAGAGTGCAGGGTCAGTCGTTTATGAGGGGAACTTTATGAGAGGAAAAATAAAAATGTTCCCACATCTCTCCGTTCAGAGGAAACCACTGATGGCATTTTGATGTATATCTTTCAAAACAGCTTTCTCCAAAGACAAACACAGTGTTAAATTGCCACAGTAATATTACACATGCTGCTCGGCAGCCTTAACTTGGAGGTGCTTGATTTAAGCAGCCATGTAAGTGATGGGCTCTGGGCCTCTTTACATCTGATAGCTAAATAAACAGCTCTAAGATGCATGTCCTTGAATATACGTTTATTCACACTTGATAAAGTACATTGTAGAAAAAATTTTATTTTGAGTGGAATATCTAACAAAGAGTACATAGGTTTTAAATTTTGAAGCATATGGGCAGACTGTATTCCAGGAGCACAGAAATTTACATTGTGAATAACTGCCATTCACTGTGTTCTCACACCCTCTCCAACATTTGATACTGTCATTTTATATTTTTAAAAACTTAACAGTAAGACATAAAAAGCTTGATCTCATTGTTTTATCATATATTTCTTGGCTTATTTCTGAGATTCATTATTTTTTCACATTTTTTTCTGTTATCAGCATTTTTCTAGTTGCCAGTTGTCTATTAATCCTTCTTACTAAATTTTCAGTAGGTTGATTGCTTCTTATTTTTTACAGCTGATTGTATATTGGGGATATTAAGTCTTTGTTAAGTGTGTTGAAAATATTTTTCCTAGTTTATCATTGCTTTTTAAATTGGCTTAAAGTATTTAAAAAATTTTGCCATATGTAGGTTTTAAATTTTTGAGTAATTACCAGTACTTTCTGGATTTCGTTGTATACTTAAAAAGACATTCTCCACCATTTAAACAGAGGGTAAGAAGAGGATGAAGAAAGGAGGATACATGGACAGGCATTTTACAATTTATAAAAGTAGGAAAAGGAGCTATTCAATTTATATTCTAATCCAATTACAAAAAAACAACCAATAATAAAACAAAACTTTATGAGCCTATCTGGTTAAAATATAAAGCCTTGGGCTTCCCTGGTGGCGCAGTGGTTGGGAGTCCGCCTGCCGATGCAGGGGATACG